ATACGAAGTTATACCTGATTGATATTCCATTATCCAATACTGCTAATCCAACAGCAGTAAGTGCAGCTCCTCCAACACTTCCATCGGCTTGGAGCAAGTGCACCGTTACCTTGAATATTTGTGAGATTACAGTTTCAGAAGGGAATAATACTGCTTAGAGAATGAACTGCTATGAGGAAAAAGTCACCGTTAATCCTGTTCTTGGGAACATTTTCAAATCCAGTACTGATTCCAGTGTCGATTGGATTATGTTGTTCAACTAAAAATGGTACAAGTTAGAACATGTGGCGCGCTTAGTAAATTGAAGGGGGAGAGGTGTGTGGTGGGACTACCGCGTCCGGGAGACGGGCAAGAGAATCGTCATTTGCCGCTTCGCCGCACGCGGCGATGGGCGCGGCGTTTTCTTAACTCGTGTTAACCTGTCGATTGGAGCACCGGATTTCACGTGGGCTACGAAACTGTAGACATTTATGACTATTTCGGTTCTACATTGCCTGTTGTCGCCATCTACGACCTGGAACCATCGTCATTTGCGGGCGCGACGTCGCATGCGACGCCCATCAGCGCGAGGAATAACGATTCTCTTGACACACACCCACCGCGCCCACTCCGTACGTCTGCGCTCTCCCATGCCGAGTGTCCTAAGGCTAGACAGGCTATCTCGGTGAGAAAACGCACACAAGCAAGAGAAGCTATAAGCGGAACGCCGCGTAGTCCTTCTTAGTGACATCAGCGCCGATATTTTTCGGCAACTAAATAAAACTGGCAACACACCTGATGATATTGACAATCTCCTGTGAGTTGGCGGAAACTCACATCGAGGTGCATTTGTTCATCTTCACGACGAGCAATATGAATGTCACCTAAGAAAACAGGAACAGGAGTATGAAAGATAGAATTGTTCGAAAGAGGGCTCAAGCGGGGAACTACGAGCCTGAGCAATTATTCTCATCCCCTTTGGCTAAGATTCTTTTCTTTGTCTCGTATCACAGTTTTTCCTTTTGTAATGTGAAAATGTTTGCCATG